TTTTTGAAAAAAAGCGCTGAAGAAGTCTTTCATAGACGAAACCAGTCCGCGTATTTATATGTAATTGCTACTTGAATATATTCGTATGCTATTTGCTCTTTACTACAATGAGGATCTATGATCTCACTAGATCTCAAGCAAAAATATTAGACTCTGATCTATGATCCCTACGGATCTGTCGATAAATTTAAGAACTGGATCTATGATCCCGACGGATCCGAAATCAGGATCCGTGGGATCAGATCCCAGATCCATTTATTTTCGGATCCACGCACATGTCTGGTCTGAATAGTCAATTTTTTAAATTATTTTCATGCTTCGAAGGACTAATTCATCAAAATGTAAGAAACGAGCGTTGAACATTAAAAAAAGAGGGATTAGACAGCAATCAGGCATATTAAGGCTCTGGACTACTTCATTCAGCTAATACTTCAAACGCTTCAAACTTTTAGGTCCACTTTCTTGAATGACCCAAACAACTTAAACAAAAACATAATAGGAAATTAACGTCATTGGTAGGCAGTGGCTAATATTGTATCAACGCCTTGGGAGCGAAAAGGAAATGCAGATAGAGAAACCTCTTAGTAAAGTCTATTTGTGATTTTTTTGCCATTAAACCAAAGTGGAGAAATTGAGCGAATACACTTTTTTAGTCTGTGCATGCGCGATTATGTACATATAAACGATTATGATTATATACACCATTATGTCATTCACTATTTAGTACTCAAAGTGCAGCAATAATCTCATATGGAAAGCTTCAATGGTGGCCCAGGTCCAACACCGCTCTTCCCTAAAATAAAGCCCAATGATTAATACCATTTCCTTTAAATGAAGTAAGTCTCAGAGACATATTGTAGATGCACCCTCGATTCCCGGACACGTTATTATGGTCACATATCATGTGCGATTGATCAGTATTGCCTCTGTCCAGGGGCGGATCCAGAAAATCTCCAAGGGAGGGGCCATTAGAAACCAGGAGGCCCCCATAATCCCACCTGTTGGAGGCCCCATCTTCCCACTTGTTGGGCCCCCCCCTCCCCCCCAAAAAACTGCGTCTATTGAGCTTATCTAGCTGTTCAGGCAACATCTCAACATGAATAGCCACTTTATTTTCAGGAGGCCCCCTTTTCAGCTTTTTAACTTTTTATTTTATTTTTGAAAAAATCGGCCAAGGGGGGCCATGGCCCCCATGGCCCCCCCCCTTGTATCCGCGCCTGCCTCTGTCCGGTCTCGTACCCACAAAGATATCATTGGTCCCCACTGGACAATGAAAATGTGAAAGCTCGCGCATGGATGGCCACACACACACCATAAAATTGGTCTTGCCCATCCGATTTCTTAAAAAAGGGTTCCCAGAGAAGCAATAAAGGAGGGTTCATCACTATCAGCTTTATTGGACAGAATCGACCAGCGCGAATAACGGTTTCCTGAGGGTCCGGTCCGGGGGAGGGAGCCGCGGAGGCTCGCCGCGCCCCGCACATCAGCCGAGGGCGGTGTTATTGCCGATGGGGTCGGCTCGGCCGTGCTGTCCGGCCAGCCGACGGCGCCATTAACCCTGTTTGACACGGCGCCCATTCGGCGGCCGGTCCCCCAGGGAGGCTGTCGGCCGGCGCACCGCCGTCCCGGGCGCCGGCAGCACTCCCCCGGCGCCGGCGACGCGGCTCCTCTGTCGGCGACGACGCGGCTCCTCCGTCGGCGACGCGCACCGGCGTCGGAGCCAATCGTGCGGGCCGTCCATCGCGCCGTGCCGCCTTATCACGGCCGCCACATGGGTCTAACGGCACCGGCGGGACACGGGCGGCCGGCGCGGCTCCGTCTGTGATGGACAGCCGACCGGAATCGAACCGGCCGCTGGAAAATGGTCCGCCGGTGGCAGATGGGGCGTGCTGGCCGGCCGGCCGTTCGCAGACGCCCCGAACGGCCGCCGTCCTGCCGAGAATCGCCGCCGAGCGCCGCTTGAGGCCGCCGCGCTGCGGCCCGATGGCCGCCCGCCGGCCGGCGATGGCGGAGCCTCGTGCGAAATACGGCGCGCCGCCCGCCGCGACCCGGCCGATTGTTTTTTACAGCGCGCTCATGGCTACACTATGTGTCAAGTTGGTCAGCGGCAGTGCCGCTTCCCGGCGCAAACTCGCGGAAAGTTTCGCTAAATTGCAGCAAAATTACTATTAGGGGCAATTGATTGAGGACCAGAGTTTTACATCGGCGTTTTATTCACGGAACCATGACATTTGCGAATAATTCAAGGCCTGAAAACGATCAATACGCCCACAAAACTTGAAAATAAGAGCCGCGCTCTGCTCTGGAAAGAGGTTTATGGACTGTAAAAGTTTTTGGGCCGGCCTGTGCCGCGGAGTGGGCGGACTGCGTAATTTAACACTGGCCGGTTCATTTGGCCGAATTGAAGTCACGAGCGTTCTCCCAAACCTCAGCGTTCAGCACTCTGTAGCGCAACCCAAACGTGGCGGCCACAGCATATCCCGCGTCCTGCGCCGACCTTCAATTTCAATCAATCACCTGCATAATAACAACCGACTTTTACTGGCACGCGACCATTTCAATCTGTCCTAAAGTTTCATTTTTGGGCGGTGGAGATTAATTTTGCAGCGAGCCAGGCGGACGTGATATAGTCTACCAGCACTCATGTGCCGCCGTCAGTAGGTGCACGCTCAATACGGTTACACAAATGTGGTAGTTTTATGTCGGAGGCAATGTAATCAACCGCAGCGACCGGCGCTGCAACACCGCGTTACTGGAATTCGACGAACTCATATGCTTGATATCGACGTGCCACGTTGCTACCGCCGCCGCCACTGCCACCGTTATTGTCGATGCTTCCTCAGCTGATTCCCCTGCTTCTACCTGTGATGCAGCTTCTCCTGTACTGGCAGGGCGACCCTCCTTGTCGCTCTAGCGGAGACTCAACAGCACCTCCCGGAGTCGGCAGTCAGTGCCAGCTCCAGTCGATAACGCCAGATAAGACGACTGCCCGGTCGACACGTGCCAAGCAGGGCCCGCAGAGACGGTCCAGAATGGCTGGCCCGCTCCTTCCGTCCTCAATACATAGCCCAACAAAGAACCGCGCACGCTGGTGCGGAAACGGTAGCGAGCCTTCGTGTAAGAGGAAACTGGCCGAATAACTGCCACCCCACGTGGCCAAATTATTCGCCCAGAGGTCTTCCGCGGAGACCTATACGTTTGGCCGGCCACGCAAAGGCGTCAAGAGCCTCATATTTCTCAACCGTTTAGCGTTAATTGCGCCTTTTTAGGCAGTCGTATTTCGTCAGGTGCTTGCGCTTAACGAGACGCACAAAATAGGCTCTGAATAGTTTGCACAGCGCGCTCGCTCTACAGCTGATGCTGGAAAAAAGTAGAAAAGTGGATAGAAAATGGGCGGGCGTAAGACCATCCGTAGGACTTTTGGGAAGCCAAGCATAAGCGCTAGACACGGCCTTAACGCCAGTCGAGCTGGTTTCAACTGGCCGCTAACATAATCGAGCCTTGTTACAAGCTTCAGCGCATCAGCAACCGCGCCAAGACCAGCCGGCTACGTTATTTCCTGCAACGATGGACTGAGGCATTTGCAAAATGCATTAGGTCTAATTTTGAGGCGGCGTTACGCCGCCATTCCGGTAATTGGGATCGTAATAGGGTTGCGGTGGAGGGAGCCGCGCCACCGCCACCGCCGGCGCTGCGGTGGTGGTGGTGGAACGACGCGGCGCTAGCTGTAATGTAGTGAGGCAGTGCTGACTGCTGAGGCCAGGCCCCGTATCCAGGCAGCCAGGCAATGAATCCACTGTCCATTTCAAAGATGTGAGCAGGCTGCTGCTCGAGGGTCTCGCCGCTGCGTGGGTCACCATTTAGTCAAAGTACTGCGTGAGGTTTGACGATACCCACGCTGATGACGTTGTCAAAAGCGGGTTTATTGTAATAACCGAGCTCGATGCGGCGCGTGCGATCAGGGCAGTGCGGGTCGCAAGTCGAGCGCGCTGCTCGTGACACATCAAACCCAGGAGCACATCGGCCCGGGGGGCAATAAACGAATATAATTACCGAACGGTGTGCCGGCCGGTCAGAATGGCCATTGACCGGCCGTCATACCTGGTAACGAGGGGTAGACGGCTTCCTGAGTGGCCGGCGCACACAGACACAGACACGGCGAGGGCTGTCACGGCCGGCGGCGGAAACCGATTGTGTCGAAGGCTCATCACCGTGTCATTGATCGTGGAGAGCAGTGGATCGAATGGCCCGTTTGCACCGAGCGGCAAGCCATCGCAGTGGCCTCGCAGGCACCATCAGCCAGTACTACAAATAGCTTCAACGTTGCATGAACTGTGCAATTATCTTCACAAAAGCGTAGCTCTTGGGCCTAATTAATACGTAATTGGATTTTAATGTCATTTTTACGGCCCATGACGACGCTGGAGTGAGTGGGGGCTTCAATTATGGCCGGGCGGCTGTAACATGCAGGGCCAGTGCCGGCGACTCGCCGTTGGACGACCTGGCTCGCTGCCCAGCCACGTTCAGCCCCGCCGCCGAATTCAGCATTGATTTTGAACAGTTCGGGGCCGTCTATCACAGTCGTTCGGTATTAGATCGACTGGGGTTGTCAGTAGCACTCAATGGAACGCTGGTTGCAGGGAAGGAGCGAATCGAGATTCGAACGATGTCTCCATGGGTGTTTGCTGTGACCGGATTCACGACCAGTTGTCTGTGACCGTTGGTGGGTCGTTCGGCTTTCGGACAGGTGCCCAACTCGTTCGACTACCACTTTCCGCGGTCATGTGGCTCTGTCTTGCTCTAAACATGGTCATAAACCACCTCAGCTGGATTGGACCCACCCTCATGTAGCCCCGGACACCTCATCAGAGGCAAACAAAACACGACAGTACATCTCCCGGGAGACTACCAAACACAATAAACAGAGCAACAACATCTACAGCATCATCACCCACCCATCCACCCACCCCTGGCACGCCCGTGGCGGCCTCGGTACTCACTGTCCATGGTGTCTGCAGAGTCCGACCGGCGCGCTGCTGCCTGCGTCCGTCCGCACCTGAGCCAGCGGCGCGTGTTGCAGCGGCCGAGCGGCGCCCTCCGACTCGCCGGCCGCGCCGCCGCCCAGGCAATCTCGGGGCACAGACGCGCGCTGTTACTCGATAAACGGACACAGCGCCGCGCCTCGGACTCGCTAGTCGGGCAGCGGCGGCGGAAGGAAGGGCCGACGAGCTGAGGCTGCGCGCGCGGCGCGGTCGCGATGGGGCCACGGTGCGTTTAATTTATAGCCAGTTTCGGGAGTTATAGGTGTAATGAGGCGGGTTGACAGAGGCGGAACCGACCAAAGAATGGTACGGATAATTGTTATGGTCGCTGATGGCGGGCCCGTGTGAGCTTACACCCGACTAGGCGGTCAAATGAGAGGTGGCTGCCACCGACCCGGGGTAGGGGTCCTCGAGAGGGGGCCTTGGAAAGAAGGACGTCCGGAAAACCGATTTGATCCGGTTCGTGCCATGGAATGCTTAGTTGGCGTAGTTGCACGAGCCTCACCGACACACTGCAACTATTGATTTCTTTACGCCCGGTTTATGGTGTAATCGATCCTATTCTGGGTTCCATGAGCCTGATACAGCACGGTTGCATTATGAGGACATTCGGTAGGAACAGCAGCTCAGTCAGGAACGTTCCCATGCGCAGTAGAGACGTTTGGAACCAAACAGCCCACCTGACATGAATAATATCACACAGAGGAGCCGCCGAAACGCGGTCTTCACTGACGCTATCTCTCCCGCATCTAACAAACAGTCGTGCTCGTGAGCCGCACAGTTTCCCGCTTCCCATCGCGCCGCGGCCCTCCCCGCCGGGACCCGCACCCCACAGCGTCGGCACACTTACCTTCCGGCAACGAGCTGAGTGACCCCGCGGAGCCTCGGGCGGTCGGTCGGTGACCTCGGGTCACGCCCGCGGTGCTGGTGGGGTGTCGGTGGCCTGCTGTCCGTCGGTCAGCTGGCACACCAGTCGAGTCCAGTCGCCGCGGTGCGCGCCCCTCTCCGGTCGAGTTCGGTGCCTCGGGCAGTGTGCAGCGGTCGGCTGCGACGCGGCCTCGGGCGCCGGCCGCGCATGCCCTGGGGCCACCGCGTGTCGCGCCGCCACCACCGCCGCTGCCGCCGGGCCGCGTCATAAAAGGGGCCGCCGCTAAGCGAGGCGGGATCACCATTAACCGGTCGTAAACGAACTAAATGAACTGCTCATCGATCCTTTCAGCAAAGTTAAGTTGGCGTCTTTGCTTTACGACTAATTGTGTCGTGCTTTCGGGCCGAATGATCGGAATTAGCTCAGTCAGGTCGCTGGCGGCTGGTGAATCTGACATTGTGCCAGCATATAGTGCTGCTCACTCGCAGCTCTGCTCCGGCTCTTACCATCTCATTCGGCGTATCTCCGGCCAGTTCTAGCTTTCGTCATGGCTGGAAGACGCTCCAGTGGCGTCTCAAGTCGGATATTATCAACTGGCCACGCAAATGGCGTCATACGGGCCATCGGCGGCCGGGCGGCGGCAGTCGGGCGCACGCCTGCGGCCGTTGCAGCCAGTTCCTGGAGACAGTCACATCCTAATGGTGGTCGTCGGGCGGCGATATTTCGGCACTTGGGCTCCACTCCGGCATATTGACTGTCCGCAGGCCTGAAAAAGAGGGCAAGCAGCACGTTTCATTGAGCTTATAGACAGAAGCAGGATTTAAGTGCTGTATATCGCCGAGGTTTATTGGTTACGTCAGTGAGGGAAGGGTAATGAGTTTGGGAAAGCGGCAAACTTTTCATCCATCTTTTTCAGACGTTGACAAACAAAGTTTCGGTTCTGTTCTTGTGGTCGCTGCCTCAGCAGAAACTTACGGACAAAGTAATCCCATGTTAATAATGAGACAAGAAAACTAATCGATTAGAACCTTCTTTTTATCATTTCGTACATTTTGGATTATTTTGGTCCACTGATTAAAACAGTATTCATATGGTTATCGTGAGGTTCACTGTTAACCCTATTAGTGGCAGGCTCCTGGCTACCCCATATTAGTGGCAGGGGGGGGGGGCTGTTTACGACCCCCCCCTTGATATCTCGAGATCTAACCGGCCGATTTTCAAAATTCAAACGGCATTCGATTTGGCTCAACGAGATCTACATTTCTAAAAAAATAAAATTACAAAAATGTCAATAGGGGGGTAGAGGGGGGTAAAAACGGGCAAATTGCAGATACATTTTAGACTGTTTATCACGGCCAGGTTTCTGAACCAATCTTAACGCAACTTTTGCCGATCGATAGAGAATGAACCAGGAATTCACATGGATCCTAAAAATATGCATTTTCAAAAATCATAGGCGGATACAGATCGTTGAGATTGGGGGTACACAAAAAGTATAGTAAATAAGGTTTTTGTTGGTACTGTTTCTAAAAAGGGTGGCAATGGTCTTGTTATGTTACAATTTTCTTATGAGAGAACGACTAAAATTGTATTGGTCATGCATAGGCGGTGTCAGGGCACCTATGTTGGGAGGTAAAAAATAACCCCCCTTTTTGGACGCCTGGATCCGCCTATTATAGCAAAAACGTGTCAAAAGAGGATGCACAATAACTTTGTATATGTTATCACATGATACCTTTCATTCAATGTTCGTAAAACTGGTGCAGCATCGTGATCTTCGCCCAAATGACTCGCTTCACGAATAGGACCCCCCAATTCCCAGTGCTCTGGAGCCGCCCCTGGTAAAGTTATGAACTTGAAATTTTCAAGGAATGTGCCCAATTTAGTTTTAGGAAAAGTCAGAAAATTTCAGCATCGTAGCTTCAGCGGTTTCGGAGATATTCCCGAAAAACCTGAGGGGTGGATAAAAACAACCCCCCTGCCACTAATAGGGTTAAATCGAATAGTTCACTGAAGAATATATTTACAATGCTAAGCAAAGTAAATAACGAAAGCAACATTTGTTTAGTGCTTTATCTCTGGTGAAGGAAGGCAGCTGCACACCTGGCGGGCTTTCCTACGACGGCTTGAAACTCTGCGTTTTTTATTTGTTGAAGCCATCTGATATGGGCCTGCTGATTGCGCATTGCATATTGCTCATCGCTTTTCCTTGGTACAAACAAATGAAGAAGGAAATATAAGAAATTGGTACAATCTAATATCATCAATGATCTCACGTTGTCGTAAGAAAAAAAAAATGGCTGGTGATGATGGGTTGAATTTTAACCGACATTCACATTTTTGTCTAATAATTTAGACATTAATCCAGCACATCTAGGCCAATAATTTCTGAAATGCAACGGAAATGACGGCTGGTGATGACAGACATGATCTAAGACCTTAACCGAGCCATAAAGTGTATATTATTGCGACACAAGGCTCATCTGACTGCGAACAAGTGGTGCTTCGGCCTTAAATTAACCTCGAAATGTTTATGTGTAAACATTCGCGTCTTGAAAGCCGGCTGCACTCTATCGTGAAGAAACAGGCTGCGGCAGGCAGAGAGCCAGAGCCGGACCGGAGCCGGAGCCGCCGGGACCTTTGACTAGTAGCTGCGAGGCAGGAGCCGTACAAAATTTGTACGGTGGTTAGCCGCCGCTTTTTCACCGTGTGGTGCTGGTGCATTGCAGCATTACAAACTACACATATTTTTACATTTAATCAATCAGAGACTTTTGCATCTTGTTATTATAAGAATTGAAGGAACACTATTTACCAGTGAGACATTTGATAAATGTTGTTTGTTGATAAATGATCAGTTTTCTACACACGCCCACTGCCGAGGAGCAGGCAGGGTACAATGTTCTCGCCATTTCGACTCGCATTGAGCTAGAGCGTCTCAAAAAAGGCTACGGTACGAGACACAACGATTGGTATCTATTCGTTTCAGGTTATCTGGTGACCTTTCGAGTTAGATCAAGGACCCATAGGAATTGATCGCGTTTTGTAAACAACTTCGCCAAAAACCATCCGGTCGAACTTACTTTTCGTCCAAAAAAGTTAACCAAACGTCAGGGTCTAGGTCAGATCAAAGCTCCTTAAAGCCAAGTATTCGAAATAAGTCATATTTTGATGCCCTAAAATGACTTTAATGTCGTCATATTTGACGTTATGCAAGTGTACTATTACAAACTAGCATTCATTTATTAAGAAGTAGTTTTACTATGGAGCCAAGTGTAAAAAACAGCATTAGGTACCTAAGCAGCGCACAGTCCATGTGTGATTACCCTTCGCCCAGATGAGAGGGGCTTTTTGACCATAATTTCATTTATGTTTTTTTGTGTGTGTAAGAAAAACCGCGGCGCACAGTGCCGCGAAACTTGTTGTAGCATATCATACATCAAGTTTGCATTTTGTGTAAAAGCGTTGAGCCCATGATACCTTAGGTCAGGTCACCAGGCCAAGTTAAGCAAATGACTCTAATGCGTGGTAAATGCGTGGTAATGTAATGCCATTCCAACAGCTAATTTTTTAGAACTTCGAAACTGTTTGAATCAAATGAGGGCATTAATACGAACAGTTTTTATACCTCGGATTTTTATACCCGTGAACTGGAGTCAAGTCAGATTCGTGACCTCAACATTATAAGGAAAAACTGCAAATGTCTCCTGCATTGACCAAGCACGTCAAAACCACAGCATATTTACGTAGACAGGACCATATCATCCATTATGCAATGGGCAGAAAACAGCCGATAGACAGCTGTTACTCAAAAGGTCACGTTAGGTCATACAAGATCACCAGCAGTTTTTTCGGCAATAACTTTTGATGGAAACGCGGTAGGGCAATGGAATCACCTGGAATGTGTTCAGGTCATCAATAAGGATTGATGAATATGCAACAACGGCCTTCTTCAGTCAGGTCAAGGCCTTTGCATGAGGTTAAATTATGAAGTTGACCTTTCCAGGTCAACTTTTAGTTCGTTTGCTGCGTCTCGACACACACACACACACACACACACACACACATACACATGCACAAACACAAACGTTCCAAAAGTAAATATGATAATACAGTTGACGCTAAGGTTATTGCAAACATTGTCGAAATTACGCTTCTGCAAAGTTCGTTCATTTTTTTTTTTGCGAGTTTTGCCCTTTCTAAGCCGAACCGTTGACCTGAAGTCAACTTTGGGACATATCAAGACAGATTTGATAGAGCTATCGAATGCAGCTTCCGCGACTCTCTAGCACTTCAAATCCACTAGTTAGACGACGATTTGTGAAAAATCGTCAAAACCGGGATATTTCTTCGTGGTATTTTATCTTTGGTGATCTCCAGTGACCTCAACGATGACTTGCTGGAAAAAATGACCCATACAATTCTGAAATATCTTATAACGAAATATCTATTGCCATTTCTTTCTTTTTAGCTTTCTTGATTTTCGAGTTCATCTGTTCTGGCCAAACATCCATGTGGCATCCCATTATGACAAGTTGGTCGAGACTCCCACTCGGGCGCTGATTAAATGCAAGTACTTTTTGATAGATGCATTTTTAAAACTTTTAAAACATTGCAAAAGGCTCGGAAACATTTATGTTGGGCTCACATGGCAACATTTTTGGATAGTCCTGTAAAAGCTCATTTTCTCTCGATTGCCATTTTGGTTCGCATAGGCTCGCACAGCCGCCGCCGCCTGCATTAGCACTCAATAGCATAGCAGCATCCGCAATATACGCGACAGTTTAAATGGCTACCATTTTCGGCCAACGAAAAATGGACCCTAAATTCGCGACGCACAAGGCTCCTGACAGGAGCTCTATCCTGGTGCCTGGATGGGCGAGGCAAATGTCGGTATAGGCTGCCCATTAAGTCACGGGATAATTGCGCTCAACATCTGATAGTGGTGCCCCGTATCGCCTAATCGGCGCTGGAGGCTGTCATCAGCAGTCGGTACGTCCTCCCTTTGCCTTTTGTGCCGGCCCCATGCTGGCACATGTGATAAGTCGCCGACCGATGCCATGCGGGACGTGATCTTAGGCCGTGTAATGTATCAGTGACACATGGTGCTATTATTTTGGCCGTGTCCGATCGCAGTTGCCCAAAAACGGAGCGCTGCCGTTCACGAACGGCCGTGAAATAATAGTTGATAGATTTATCGCCACAGAATACGGGGCTTCAGCTTCAATCAAAACTGAAAGTGTTTCGCCTAATTAGTTAACTTGAAACAATCAATTAATGCATTTTTTCTTACGAAACTGACACAGCTTTAGGTGCAAAATCAATGGTATCTTATTCAAACATGCTTTTATTCTAAGCAAATCAGCCCCAAAACAAATTTGTTATTACGATTAGGAAAGCTAAGGTAAGATATCTATCACCTAGCATATTATCTCAAACATAAAACTTTGAGATGTCTTGCTATAGGAAATCTCAGATTTCTTTGTTTTCTCCAGTCTTAGTTTCAAACATTCATCAGATTTTAGGCCAATCATCACGGAGATATCAGACCTGTCTTCAGCCATTCAATATAACACGAATATTCCACTACAAAACAAACACCTGTGGTCACCTGACGCACTTGGAGCATTGCTGAACAGCCATTGCTGGGATTTTCTTTCAGCACAGTGCATCACGCTGGTGTACTCGCCGCTTTCGCTCAGTACAGTCGCCTGCCGTGAGCCTCGTGTCACCCCGGCCACCCTGGACGAACCGCCGGCCGCATCC